ATTTTTAGGTAAAGTCCAGGTGATACGTGTGACTATTTCAGTTATGGTAGAATAACCTCCTTGAAAGCTGAATTGAAAGTTTAGAAATTACATTCATGCATGGTTAATTCTACAAGACTCGTTGGGGTCCCGAACTATCACGAAATTGTGGTGTAGGTATGTACCAGTGACACACGCGCGTAGAAACTTTTGTTATAGGAGCTTCTTTCTTTTTACTAAGGTTGGTATACCCTTAAGTTAGAAGTTTTTTTGCGGTATGGAAATTTATTATTCAGCCAGTTTCATGGTTATAAAGTGGTGTACCTGGTACGTTTTGTAAAGCAGTAAATATTATATTGATATTTCCATACGTATAGTAGTTTATTTAATAGAAATGACATCTGGTATATTTAAGGAATATGACAACGAAGAGCCTAATGTAACACACATCTTAGTTAAGTAGTCTATTAGCTTTATCCAAATGAATTTAATATTAACTGATTCTTTATTAAAAATACGTTTCGTAGAATTGATAGATAGTCTAAAGAATTTAAACTATCTTTAATATATGAATTTTTAACAAATTTTAATGTTTCAAGTATAACTGAGAATATTAAAAACTCTTGGTTAGTTTGTACTCGAATTCTTAAACTTCTAAAAGTACAAGATAAGCACAAGTCCTATCGATTTAGATATATCTGTATATATCTTTATATTATATTATAACTGTCGTATCTCTGGTTATATAATGGTTATATTATAACTGTAATATCTCTGAAGCTAGAGGTTCAAAGATAAAAATAATTAGAAAGCAAATTTCGCATAAGTGAAATTGCCTTTGATAATGTTTTACAAATTTCTTGACATTTTCCAGAATTTGTTGGCTTTAAATACGTTAACACAAAAAACAAAGACAAAGACATTACCCAAAAGGACACAAAGCTTCAAACGTCTAAACAACTCAATAATAATTAATATGACAATATTCCATAAACACAGAACGGCGTATAGATTAAGTAATATTATTATAAGTATACAAGTAAGATATTTAAAAAATATAGAGCAGCGTCATATCAAGAAAACACTAACACGTATTATCGTTCTTCTTCTTTTTGTCTATCACTTTTTGTAATATACAGTGTATAGTTAGAAAGGCAAAGCAATTCATGTATCGCTGGAAAGAATATAACTTAAAGAATACAATAACAGAAATCAAACATGGTGACCAGTCAAAGAAGCATTAGGTTTGTAGAATGACATGTGAGGTATCACAAGAAAGACTACGGTACGAAACGTATAGTTAAAGAGGAAATTTACAGATTACGTTATTGTTTACAAAATAAAATCATAACAAAAATTTTCTTTTTATTATTATTGTAAAATTCAAAAATATTTATTCATCATCATTGTCGTCATTATCGTCTTCCTCCTAGTCTTTATTATCGTCAACATCTTCACTATTGTCACCTTTACCATTGTCTTTATAGCCGTTTTCATCATAATTATAATCATCGGGTCTTACCCCCAAATCCCATAACCATTGTTCAATATCGTTATGCCAGAGGAGTTTATTCCTAATATGGTCTATCCCAATGTCATTGATCGATGTCATTATACCAGAGTGACCTGAAAGAAAAAATATGTGTATTGCTGCACGGCGACTGATCAGCTCAGGTTGAGTAATCTGTAACATATAAATCAATATTGTTACATGATGATATCAGAAAATAATGATTATGTTGGTTTCCAAGGCACCCGTGAGGTACAACACATGCCTCGCTGGTGTTTTATCGTGAACACCATCCCCAAGAGGCCTACAACCACAAAATTTCCTTAGAGAAATCAAAACATGTAAATTTGATGCTGAATCAAGATACATTTTGGTAGCATAGAACAAGCGATTGCTTGCCCCCCACATACCAGTAAGTAATCAGCAAAACTGCAATAATGGTACAAAACCCGAAATATTTTCTTAATATATTAAAAAAAAGACAGAGGTAATGGTTCAGAAGACATCTTTTTTATAATCTGATGGCCATCTTTTATAATAAACGGCTACACAAGCAACGGCTCCGGAATTAACCAGACGACTCATTAATTTGCCAGTGGGCTACATTAGATATCTTTTATTGGTCTTAACTGAACATCTTTTAATGATCTGACAAAGTATCCTGTGTTAGTTAGGTGGGATAAGCGACAACCCATTACAGCTTCTAGTCACTTTACTTTTAGTGTGAGAGACAATCGTTTGTATTACAAAGTAGAGGAAAAAAATTACGCTGCTGAAAAATAAAAGTAATACATTAAAATATAAATTAAAAGTGAAAATTGTACAAAAATTAATAATTAAAACGTGTTAGTTTTAAACTTTGAGTTTTTATAACTGAAAGGTATAGAAGTAAAATCATCGAAAAATTTTCTTTTGCTTAAATTTTGTCTATATTTTTCTGGATTTCTTGCTTGATGACCAAGTGATCTGTTGTTCGTCTAACCTGTTTAGTTATTATAGAGATATCATCGACCTTTGTTAGTACCATCTCTTTATGGTATTAACATTAATTATTTTAAAATCTTCATAATTAAGACAATTACCTTTAAACTGACAACAAATTTTCTCGTCGGCATTGAGTAAAGTATACGTATATGCATAATTTTTAGGTCCTCCAGAAACGAACTCTGAAATATATCCACCACTGAGTTCATCAGTAAGATCACCAATACATTCGCCAGTAGGTAGTTTGGGAAATGTAATTCTTTAAATGTAAATAGATGAATCTGTGTCGTAATATAATGGCCGATCCCCAATAATCTTCAAATAAGAGTATAATTTGAGACGATCTAACGCCGTGAAAACTCCAGTTGTACATCTTCCCACTAGAGAAACTCCTCGATGTATCGGTTCTTTTCCTCACCCGATATCCAACCTCGTGCCCACCCTGAAGCCTGTTGCTTGACTTTGATAAACTTGTTCATCATATCAGAAAACAGTCCTTTGTCAGTGTTCGACAGCTGAATGGTCTTGTATGACCACATCTCATAAGTATCTAGCAACCTATAACCTTTAGACATTGCATTCACTACCTCCTCAACGACCCACGTACCCATGAGTGCTCGTTCTTCATCGGAATGTTGACATTCTTTCTGAACGAAATTTTTATCGCATTTACGACACAAAACAAACATGCATTTACTGTTCATCTTAGCAGAAACAACAGGATGATAGAGATTGGTAGGAGGAGATATCTTACACTTATTTATACCCGATACCTTTAATAAATCTACATCCTGACACTCCTCACCAACGTACACTTTAGGATGACCTACAGGAAACCTTCCATACTTTCACAACCACGGCCACAACGAGCAAACATCAACGTATTTAATTTGCTCGTAGGGTAGAGTTGTCATTAGGGGGTGACCTTCAGTATATGATTTTATCTATGGCGTCATAATTTTACGGAAAACACATTCTCACATCTCTCTCCACATCTCCCACAATCTCGTAACCTAGAGAACGCAAGTGTTGGTTTTTAGCATTTGTTTTTTCATGACGAGTCTCCATACAATCGGAAGGATCATCATAAAGAGGAGCAGTCCTATTTTCAGGGTAGGAAGTGCGACAACCATGACAGGAACAACTCTAAAAATCAAAAATGGTCTTATCGTAAAGACTGTCTACTTAAAAATTGCCAATAAGAGCTTCAGGATCCCTAGCAGCATATTGGATTGTAATACAGCGCTGTTTTTCTTCTTACAATAACCACTGTAAAATGATTTTAGATTGATTATCTTTGAGCCGATAACCACCCTTAGGAATAAGGCCTATGGTGTCAGGCTGTAAAAAGTTACGCCTAAACACTTTGTTACACGTGGGGGCAACAATTGTAGCTTCCATGAAAGGACAGACATTTAACGTGTCTAGCAACTGCTGGCGAAAAATAAGACAAGACTGAGTCAAAATTTCAACATCGCCAATACAATACTCTACATTCTCTTTTTGAAAATCAAAAACATACCCCTCAGCAACTTATCAACCTCTCACGGGCATCTTCCTTCAAATTATCGGTGTCATAAAAATCAAGAGAAGGCATAGGGCCGACATAATTTTGATTTTCATCTCCGTTAAACAGATGTGGAAAGTATCCCTTTTACAATTCTACTACGCAGAGCCATTTTTAATTTTTTTTCTAATTGACAAAATATGGTAAAGAAAAGGAGAGATGACGTTAGTTAATGTTAGAATTTGTAAACGAACACCACAATTTTTACAAATAGCAATACTGGAATCTAAACACTCATCACATACCTGTTTAAAAACACAAAGATTAGGTTCGTGAAGGAGTGAACCATCGGACATTACTGTTTTCTGGCAAGTTTTTAGGTCGTAGAAAATGAAAAGAAAATCTTTAGATGGAGAAGTGCCAGTGTCGGGTTGCATATAATGAAGATGACCTGACGGACAATTTTTCTTACAAGTTTTGCAATACACTTCACCGCAGATATGATTTTTGGTGTATATTTTGTAACACTCCTTGCACCTCTTAACTTTCTCGCACACAGATCCGAGGTGTGAAAAATAAATTTCCAAAACTCAAAAATTTAGAACAAACTCCAAAATATTTATAAAATTTTAAAAAATCAAAAATTTTTGCAAAATTTTATTACGCTTACCAGAGCACACGTCTGAATGTTAGGAATATCTGAAACAAAATAAAGAAGATACCTTAATCCCATGTTGCTGAGGTGAATCTACGGTAGGTTGTGGATCGCCTTCAGTCGCTCTGTACGCTAAGGCAGACGATTTAAGAGTCCTTTGAGATTCCATTTGTGCACTGTAAATATTCAAAACAGAAGGAAAAGGAAGAAATAAGAAAAACGAAGACAAGTTTCTGTTTTTATTAATAGTTTGAGCGTCGGTGTCAGTTCGCCAAGGTTTTCCCCTCTTTGAGAGTGTCTCGAAGGTTTTCTCAGTGGATGACGTGTGTGACACACAAATATATATGTAGATATTAATATGTAATATGGAAAATACGAATAATACTATTATAAAAATTGGCTGTAAGAAAAAGGTAAGGTTAAATAGTACACGCTGGAAAAAGAAACTATTAAATGTAAATGCCCTGGAGCAACGAGGTTGCGACAGAGGAAATAAGCACATAAAATATAAATGGTAAAATTTGTCAAACGACAAAGTAAAGTTAAAATTATCAATATTAAATAAGCATTAGGTTAAGATATCAAAGAAAGCATCAAATAAACATCAACAATTGTAAACAGCAATTGGTAAATCGTGAAATAAAATATCAGAAAATAAACACTGTAAAATGGAAGAATAATCTTGAAAATACAAATAAATAATACCAAATAATATTCTACAAAAATATTATCCAATACTAAGCTGGAACAAATGAGGAAGCGGAAGAGAAGTCTAATTCTCTTCCAACGTTTCGAGTAAAAGAACTATCGGTATATAACATAAATGGGTATTCCCCAACCAGATGTCTTATCTAGTTCAGACTCAGAACCGAATAGGCCTTCTGCAGTCAATCAATCAATCAATGTTTTTTCTTAATAGGATAGGATAAGGATCGTTTATTCCGAGGGGATGAGAATACATTTTGTACCCGTTTAGGGTCGGTTGACCCTCTTCAGGCTTGAGTTGAATGTTGTGTGTACCAGTTCAAAGGCAAACACATCCAAAAGTCACTGGCGTATTAGCTTCTACTTCTTCTATTTCTTTATGCACCTTTTCTTCGCCTGGAGGAGTTTTTGTCGACAATCACAGAACCAGAGAACCAGAGAGAAAGGCTTTGTTGGAGGGGTGTTCTTTCCAGATAGTCGTGTGTGTTTTTAGAGCTAGATGAGACAAGGCCGGGTCTTTAGTGACCATTGGTCCTGTGCAGTCTCGAGCTTAACCCGGCCCCGGTTTTCTTCAGATTGTGCACCTTCTTTTATCCTATTTTCGTCACCTTGGTGAGTGTGGAAAATGGGTGTGACCAATAACTCACCAATCAGAAAATAAGATAACTTCATGGGCCAATCAGAAGGCTAGAAGATGAGAAATGCGCAGATCTGTGTGCGTACTAGTCACTAGTACGTTGGTGACGTGTCAGGTCTGGCGACAGTCGGGTATTCAATATACTTTTAGTCGAACGCAAAAATGAATGGTAATGGGAATGAATTTTGATCAAAGTCGTGGGGGTAAATATCACGAAGCAAGTAATGGCCTAGTGCAACTTTTCTCACAACTCATTTCTCATTAGTTTGTTCAAGCTGTCGGTCGACTCAAATAAAATGTTGAGGTGCAGCATATGTCTAAACGCAACAAAACAATGTGATAAATGTTTAATAACATTAGGCAAAAATCAGGGGAAATGGATACCGTTCAACAGTAAATCTTGGTCTGATTATGAAGAGTTTAAAGAATGGCAATTTAATTATGATAGAAGTCAGCTACTTTGCGAAAGATGTGGAAAATATTATATGAATAGAACCGATACATATTAAAATATGAAGAATAAATACGGCATTGAAAACTATTCAGTTAGATTTACATCGCCATTTCTACACCAAGCCCTACAACAATTTGCTGCCTACTTGGTGAACAACTACTTTTCTGAAGAGGCAGACTTCCCTCCTGAGATGGGGGTGGAAAACAGTTCATCACTGGAGCGTACAACCAACGCCTGTGAAAGTTTCCATTGTAAATTTAATTCGTTATTTTACAATCCGCACCCTAATAGATTTTAAATTTTTAAGAGTTTTTGAAAGATATTCAAATTGACACTTATATAAAAAAACGAAGTTATGTGAAACAAAAGTCTAAGTCTCTGTTGAAGTCTAAGGATGGTTGTTACGGCATGAAAATTTGAATAATTTCCGGGAAACCTTAAAACAACCCTTTTCTTTTTCCAGTACAAATTTTTTCCGACTAAATGTAGAATAAAGTTTATATTAAATTACAAGCACTCTCTCTTGTCTAAACAATCTATAATATAAAAATGAATCGCAAAATGATTTGGTAAGCGCATAACTCAAGAACGCATTGACCAATTTTAACAATTCTTTTTTTTTTAATGTTCCTTTAAGTCTAAGGATTGTTTTTACGGCATGAAAAATTCGAATAATTTCCGGAAAAACCCTAACACAGCCATTTTTTTCCATACAAATATTTTCTAACTAAATGCAGAGTAAATTGGATCTTTATTGCTATTCAATAAAATTTATACTAAATTACAAGCACTTACTGTTGTCTAAACAATCTATAATATAAAAATGAATCGCAAAATGTGTTGGTAAGCGCATAACTTAACAACGCATGCACAAATCTTAACAATTCATTTTCTAAAATGTTCCTTGAAGTCTACGGATGATTTTTACGGCAAGAAAAATGCGAATAATTTCCGGGAAACCCTGAAACAGCCCTGTTCTTTTTCCCATACAAATATTTTTTAAGCAAAAGTTTATATTAAATTACCAGCCCTCACTGTTGTCTAAACAATGTAGATGTGTTCCTAACGTCGAAGATTCAATTTGTGCTTAATTGTCGCTGCACAAAGTTCAAATTAAATCAAATGTATATGTGTGCGCGTTCGTTTGTGTGCGCGTTAGTTTGTGTGCGTGTTTGCGTTGGAGGATCTAATGCGTTCACACAAAAGTGATAATATCGTGAACTCGACCAAATAGAAAAGTCAAAAAATGTAAGAGCTATAAATTTGTTTGGCCTCTCAATATTCTTTTTGTTTTGTTTTATTTTCTGAACGCGACATAAATTGCATCAATTTTCACGTCGTTGCATGTGTCAAACAAACCGATGTTTATTTCCAGAAGGTGTTTCCATATGTTGCTCAACATTACAGAAATTGGTTAAACGAAGGGGCTATATTGGCTGCAAAAAACATAGATATAAATGAATTAAATTTTAAAATTCAAGAACAAATTACAGAATTGAGGATATATAAATCAGTTGATTCGGCTACTAACCAAGATGATGTAGTTAACTACCCGCCTGAATTTTTAAACTGGCTAGATTTACCAGGATAGCCTCCTCACAATCTTCAATTAAAGGTTGGATCGGTAGTGATAATGTTGAGGAATATCAACTAACTGCGTTTTTGCAACGGCACACGGTTAGCGATCAAATAATTATTGAACAACGTGATAGAAGCAACTGTCCTGAAAGGAAAGTATAAAGGAGAATATGTTGGTACGTGGTATCAAACGCATGCCAATGATTACGACTGACATACCATTTGAATTTAAACGACTACAGTTTTCAGTACGGCTTACTTTTGCTATCACTATAAATATGTCCCAGAAGCAATCATTCGGTGTTTGTGGTATTAATCTAGAAAACCCATGTTTCTCACATGGTCAATTGTATACTACCTGCTCTTGTATTGAAAAACCATCAAATTTGTTTGTATATTCACTAGGTAATCAAACAAAAAACATTATATATGATAAAGTACAATAAAAAAATTAAACAGATTTTTGTTAATAATTGATTCACTTGCTTTACAATAAAGATATTACTGAAAATATTTACATACGTTTTATTTTATTATTCTTTATTATATGGGTTATCAACCCTACATTAATAATAATGATAAATAATTAATTATCTCTATGTTTTGTCATTGAAGCACCCACTTTATAAATATTTGTCACCTTTAGGTTTTCACTATCCTTTTAGATTTTTTTTCAATCAGGTTTAAACCTTAAGTTCCCTTCTTAGTTTGAAGTCCTCTGGCAGACATCCCAGTCGGGGTTTTTAGTGGGTTCAAAAGGGTGGCCAAAGTTCGTCGAGGCGAAGATAATTAAGTCACCCGAGCTAACCCTCACACACCGCCCTATCATCATGGTGACTGTTTTGTTCGGAAGAATTAAAAAAATAAACTGCCACATTCCAAATCTATTTGACAGAACGAAGTCTGTTGGGTCCGCTAGTATTTGATATAAAACTAAATAGATAAATATTTAATCCGCTTGATCACGGGAGCGCACTAGGTTATGGTTTTCGGAGCGAACTAGTATGTAATTAAGAGGGTTTTTTGACCTTGGGAGCCAACTAGTGTGCTTCGACCATTTTCTCCCAGAATTTTAATTAAAAGCTTTTTAAAAACAATTTCCGGAGTGGAAGGTATGTAAATAATAATATTTAAAATTAGACATTCCACAAGAAAGCAATTTCAGAACCTTGTTTATTATAATTTTAATTTTAGGAACTACCAAGAAGATATCGTATATTTTTTTACACGATTATTTTTAATTTAAACTTTATAGTTTTTAATTTTACATGAGATTAGTTCAAGAAAAATTTAATTTATATAATCATAATCTGATCGGCGGTTTCTTTCTTATAGTAAACTATATCGTGACAATACTTGACAATTTATAAGTATTATAACAGTAACTAATAAAATATAAGATAACAAAGACAACACAGAATTAAAACATAATCTAGAAAGAGAAAATAATATGCTTGACGGCATGCTCATAATACTCTTGGCGTCAGGGGAGTTAAGTATGCAATTTTATGTCCTCTCTGTACTTTGACGTTTTTTATGTTTTTTGCTGTAGACTACTATCCCGAAAACCCGTCAGATAATTTGTTATTAATAATTTAATTGTTTAAATGATTGTATCTCCTTAACTGTTAAAGATATTTAATTTTACCAAAATGAAAATTGATCCTTTTGAAAAATGAAAAAAATCCAAAATCCAAAATTTTGAAAAACAGTCACAAAAACGGCATTCGATAAGGCTTTTTCCAAGGATAACTTATCGAACTATAACTTTTATAAAACCCCCTCATCTTAAAGATAATTACTTCAGCTTTAAAAACACTTTGCAAAATTACTTTAACCTGTATTAGTAAAAAAGTTAAACATTAACAATTTCACTACACAATGCAGAACTACACAATGCAGGGGATTATTTTAAGGAGCTTATAGATGAGGCCATCTTTCCAAACCGTGTCATAGGCAGCCGATAAATCGATGAATGCCACAGAAGTCTTCAGTTTTCTTTGGTAACCTGCTTCTATGTAGGTAGTTATAGAGAGCACTTGGTCAGTGGTGCTTCGTTGAGGCCTGAATCCTGCTTGTTCAATTGGTATTTTTTGAAGTAGCTTTGGGCCGATTCTGTTCAGGACCAGTCTTTCGAGGAGCTTGTAAGCTGAACTGAGTAAAGCGATGGGGCGGTAACTCGCTGGGTTATCTGTTGGTTTTCCAGGTTTTAGGATGGCTATGATTTTTGTTTGTTTAAAGAGGTTTGGTAGGTTACCTGTTTTGAGTATATCTGTATAGAATTTAGATAACCAGGTTTTTGCAGATTTCCCACAATGGATCAGGAATTCGGGAGGTATACCGTCTATACCAGGAGCTTTGTTGGGTTTAATGTCTTTGATGGCGTTTGAGACTTCTTCTGGAGTGAACGGTGCGGAGTACTCTGTATCTGATGGACAGGCAGCTTTTAGATGTTTAAGCTCCCTTTTTATAGTAGTGGTAAACTTTTTATCACATGCTCCTCTGGAGGTGGCAACTATATGTGATGCAATTTTATTAGGGTTGAAGTCGTGGATTTGTCGTGTTGCCAGTTTGTCACTTCCGAGTTTTCTTAGGAGCGACCACGCTTTACGGCTAGACTTTTTGAAATCTAACGATTCGACTTCATTTGTCCATTTCTTCCTTCTTGCTACATCAAGGCTCAGGAGAAGTTCGTCCGCAAGGTCACTTTCACCGGTTTCAAGATATTCTTCGTAGAGGTTTTGGCTTTCCTCACTCCATCCTGGTATGTATTGCTTACGATGGCCCCTGGGAATGTGTTTCTTTGCTGTAGCAATTATTGCCCCTCTAAACCTTTCATAATTTTTGTATGTTGGTGGAATCCATCGTAAGATTTTATCGAGTTCATTGGTAAAGGCGGGCCAGTTACCTTTGTTAAAGTTCCAGCGTGGTCGTGGAATGGTTGTAACTAGTGGGATTTGGATACCAATCTCAATAATGATCGGCCTGTGCTGGCTATGCGGGAAGTCATGAAGTACTCTTCTCTTGGTTGGTAAGGGGTAGCTTTTCTGGTTTTTGCTCACAAAACATAAATCTGGATTGTACTCTTGTTTCCATGCCGCCGATTTAAAAGTGCTCCGGTCTTTGGCATCGAAGACGTGATGCAGGTGGTTACTCTCTGCCCAGTCTAACAGTGTCTCCCCGTTTTCATCGTTGTTTCTGTATTTCCATTCTTGATGATGGCTGTTAAAATCACCTAAATAGATGGCTGGTTGGGCCTTATGTCTATGACGTGGCTTGGTCATGTAATACTTGGGGGTTTATAAACATTTGTTACTTCGATTTCACCTATTTTGGTAACGGTCAAATGTATATTATCTTGCGTGGTGGAAGATACGAAGTGAGCGTTTTCTACGGAGTTTTTTACGTAGTTGGCGGTACCATAAGCATGGTGATAGGTTGCTCCCAGAAGATCATAGCCTGGAATTTTGCCTCTACTTGCGAGTTGTTGTTCGTTCGCAGCATGGGTTTCCTGTATAACTACAAAGTCGATGTCGTTAGAAAGTAGTATGTTTGACAGCAGTTCGCTTTTGGATCGGCTAATGCCTTCAATATTTATCTGACAAATCCGGACAATGGGTCCAAGAGTTCTAGTCATTTGGTTCTCATAAGAACCGTTTCCTGGTTGGGCGTTCATGTTTGCAGTTGTGTATTGGCCAGGAGATCGTTGGATAGTTTGGCCGCCTGTTCGTTCTAGCTCATTTAGTGTTAACCAGAGGGCACGTGCAGAATTCTTCTGCGGACGCGAGCTAGTTTACCCTATTTTTGGAATTATTGCGTCGAAAGAATTTTGTCACGTAAAGAGGCAATACGGCCCGTCGAACCCTACTTGTATTTATACCTAGTCTAAATCTAAATCTTTGTTACAGAAGTTAATCTGACAGTCTGGTAATGTTTTTGTGGATTATCTAAACGACTCTTACGATTCCGAAAATCCAATAATTAAGTTTAAACGTGTAACAAACAATGTAAACATCTCTTTGATGTTAACATCAAAGAGATGCTTACAATAGGCGTTACATCTATTCTAAATGAATTTTAAAAACTGATAATCGTTGGTGGAATGCAATAATAGTTAGGTACTTATACATATTTTTAAATAAATAATGCCTCTGTTATCAGTCGTTTGATATCGATGTTAGTGTCAACTAAGCTCCTAAAATTATACTAAATTACAGTGTAAGTAGATAGTGTGAATAAAATATTCCGAAACCATTATCAGCTGCAGAACTGCAAGACATTGCTAATAATTTATGGGATTCCGATGATGAAGAATATTTTGAAGTAGGTGGAATTAAGATTGACTCTAAAATTGAAGATCATCATTTGGAAGCAAGTCAAGCGGATGATCAGCAAGTAGTATTGAGTGATAATGAAGAAGAATGTGTTACTACAAGCTCCCAAATTTCAGAGTGTGTAATTTTTGAAACTAAGAATGGAAATAACTGGAAGAGTTAATCACAACCGACAGGACGTATACAATCCTGTGACATAATAAAAAGCATAGCGCACAAAGTTATGTGAGCCTCTCATCAAAGTGTAAATGATCGTGTTGATTCCTTTTGTTAGTTTGTGGAAAAATTGTGAATGAAATAGTGAAGTGTACAAATAAAGAAGCCGAAAAAATCCTGGGGATGGAGAACTAGAAATATTGCGACTCTAAAGAGCTATATACCCTTATTAAAATACTACTAACTGCAGAGCACCTGGGTGCCAACATCCATATTGTAGATATAGTTTGGAGTAAGTTTTATGGACCTAATATATTTAAAGCTACCATAGGATTAAAACGATTCAAAAATTTGCGAAGATTTGTGCGATTTGACGATAAGGACACAAGGTTTGAACGAAGAAGAAATGATAAATTAGCAGTAATACACGATGTGTGGAATCAAGTCAACCAAAAATTTCCTAAATACTATTTACTATGAAAAAAATAACGATAGATGAGCAACTTGCTCCGTATCGAGGTAA